ATACATCACCATGCCTGGCTTTTCAATTACGTTCATTTATTTATTTAATATATGACAGCAGAATGCATTACAATTCTTATTACAGATATAGAGCACAATTTTTCATATTTGTTATTTTTAAAGAAAAGGAGAAGAAAATAGTAGACTGTAATGAAACAGAAATTTTAGGATGGCAAAAAGAAAACACCAAATTCCCTTGTTAATTGTAGTCTTTATTTACTAGTGTGTATTAAATTTTTAAATAACAGTAGTGTTCTCTTATTTTACGATCAATCTTGCATCAATTAATGATGAGGCGGCATTCTGAGAAATGTGTCATTAGACAACTTCTTTTTCTTTGTCGTTGTGGGTGGATGAGATGCCTTTATTATATTTGTTTATTTTTATGTAGTGCTAAGGATCAAACCCAGTGCCTCACAAGCTAGGCAAGCTTTCTGCCACTGAGCTACAGCACCAGCCCTCATTAGGTGACTTTATCCCTGAGCCAGTGTCCGGCACTCACAGGAGCCCGGCTGGCATGGCCTGCTGCACACCTGTGCACACTCACACCTGTGCACACTCACACAACTGTGTATGCATATGCAGCCCATTGAACAACCAAAGCCCTGATGAACAAACAGCATCAGGTCCATCAAGCACAAGAGAAAACCTGCATCCAGGCTGCTGTGACCAAGAAATTCATGAGTGCAGTGTGGCAGGGTTTCACGGCATTTTTTATGGTGGGCACACAAACCAAAACGCTGATAAAAAGCATAGTGTGACAAGGATGTGAGCCAGCAACAGTCGATGTTATCACCCCCGAGCACCGTGCACTGTGCGGAACCGTGAGTGCTGCAGGACTGGCAGCCTGCCCCACCGTGGCACACCAACACAGTAAGGTGACAGCTGCTGTGTCATTAGGCTGTGGGAGCTCTCCAGCTCCATGATAACCTGTGGGACCGCCGGGACTGCTGCGGTAGAGCTGCCCTGCGTCTGTACCAGTGAAGGTGCTGGGGAGCAGACCCAGGGCTATGCGCATGCTGGGCTGTACCCTCAGCCCCTACTTTTCTCTTCTTATTGCATGTGCTAGAACCTTCAAGGCAGTGTTAGATCACATGGTAATAGTAGGTTCCTCAGGTTGGTAGTGTTGCGTGCAGGAGGATGTTAGCTTTGGTTTGCAGAGAAGCAGTCGACACCTGATTCAAGTCGCCCAAGCTGACTCTGCCACCGCCCTGAAAGGACTCTCATTTGTCTACTCACTCAACACTTTCTTTTTTAAATTTTATTCATTTTAATTAGTTATAATGACAGTAGAATGCCCTTTGATACATCATATATAATGGAGTATAATTTCTCATTCTTCTGGGCATACACGATGTAGAATCACACGGGTTGAAGAGTTATATATGCACACAGGGTAATAATGTCAGATTCATTCTACTATCCTTTCTCCCCCTAATCTAAAGTACCTCTATTTTTCCCTAGCCCCACCCCCACTCTGAATCAGCATCCACATATCAGAGAAAACATCTGGCTTTTGTCTTTTTTGGAACACTTTTGACACAAAACATTAGTGTTTTCTAATTCCGCACACACCAGCTGGGGATGCAAGGATCCAGTTCTGGCACCACCTGCCTGGACTCTACACTGTAGAGACCACAAGCTAAGGGCTCTGTCCCACAAGAGGCCCCACTTCAAAGGCAAGGCACAAACCCAGGCCTTCAGGACTCTTGGTGGACCATCTCCGAATTGGGGTCTCCATGGAAGACTCTCCTTGGATTCAGTCATTTGCTAGAATGGCTCACGGGACCCAGGAAACACTTTATTCACTGATTTATTAGAAAGGGCTAAAGGTAGAGTCAGAGAGAAGACCCTGGGCCTCCTGGGGAGGGGTCCTCCGCAGGCCCAGCACCCAGCACCCTGAGGCCTCACCATTTTCACAGCTTCATTTCTAGTGGGAAGTTGTCTGTCCTAAGAGCAGGTTAGGAATCACATGCAGAGCTCTTGGGCCTGGTGAGGTTTTGTCGACTTTGCTTTGGTTTTAGTGCTAGGGATTGAACCCAGACCCTTGAGCACCCTAAGTACACACTCTACCACTGAGATACACCTCCAGCCCCCGGGAGATTTTTTTTTTTTTT